TCAGGTCAGATCAATAACATATGCTAACCTTAACTTAATTTAACTAGTTTTCAAACAGGTTTTCCCCACCTCTAATAGATGCCAAAAGGTTTGATTTTTTCTCAAACCTTAAAGAGACTAACAAATATTTCAAAATAATTAACTTGTACTTACATTATTATTATATGCATCTTTATTGACAAAAGACCCATCATATTTTTTATGAGAAATTGCATACATTTCTCCTCTACTATATGATCGTTCATCTCTCGATTCCTACAAATAAGAACAAATATTAATTATTTGTACTATCCGGCATACAATCAACTATATATAAATTTAGACATACCAACTCATGTTGCTTCCTTGCAAGCGACTTAGATCCAAGTGTGTGTTGAGTCTTCAATTTTCCTCTATTTTGGGCATTTTGTTTTGTCATTCTCTACATTGGTAAAAAAAACACGTGTTATAGATAGAGATAAGATATAATGTATCACTTCCATTTCTTTACAGCAGAAGCAAGTATGTAATCTTTGTCATGCCCATCATCAACATCAAAATGGAGCTAACCATAAGAATATAAATTAGTTGACAAAGCAAATAATAATTTCTTATGAAATTAATTTTAAACATATGTAATTATTTATTAATGATACCTTTATCTTTGAATCACAAAACTATGTTTTTCTATCCATTGGAATATCCCTCCAACTCTCAAACATTATGGAAAAGTCTTTGAACATTCTAATAATTATACTCAAATACCATGCTAACAAACCAACAACTAATCATACTGCACGATGAATCTTATCTCATTCAAGTATTATCCATGTTCCATCAGATCTGATTTCACAACCAAATCTTTCACACATAAATGTGTGCTTGAAACATAACCCTAGTCATCTATCGCATAAAAAAGTAAACAAATTAATGTCATAACTCAACTATGTAAAAATAAATAAATTATTTGCAGATACTTTAACTTTAAAGTACTTACTAATGACATTTATATCTCAATACTCAGAACTAGCCACTTAAACAACAACTACAATCCAATCTTCTACCGCAACATCTTCATCCTCGTCTTCTACCACAACATTTTCAGTCTCATCTCCTACCGCAACATTTTCAGTCTCATCTTCTACCATAACATCTTTAATTGTAGTTTGGATTGGCGGAAGGATTATTGTAGTTTGGATTGGTGGAGGCGTTATTGTAGTTTAGATTAGGGGAGAGATTATTGATGATTTTTGGGTTGTTGTTGAACGTAGGCGCTTCTTGTTTACTTCAAGCTTTCTAGGTTGTACAAACCTCAAACGACCCTTCACAAACTAAATAAAATGCATCGGTGAATATTAGTCAATAATCAATACATTAATCTATACTTATAATTACTAACCAATGATGGTTTTGAAGAAGATGATGATGATTTGTAAAGGGATTGAGAGATTTTAGTAAGATTGAGAGCCCATATTTTTTTTATTCTCTTCAATTATTTTGCGGTGAATATCCTCATATGATGAATTAGTTCTTTCATAACAGACTTCAACTACAAGTATAGGTGATAAACAAATGAGTATGCTAAAATATATATTACGACTACACATTTAATAAATATAACATAAACACAAAGAGTAACATAAATCATGACTACTGATTTAATAAACATAATAAATAAAAAAATAAATTATGCAATAAAACATAAAGTAACAATGCCGTATGTTGGTATTTCATTTTTATAACGATGAATAAACATAAAACGCAAGAATCTCATACATTAATTAGGGATGAGAAAAAATACAAGTCTCACACGAGTTACAAACAAGCTAGACGTCTTATCAATAAAAAACTATATCTTAAATATTGTCATCATTTTCTGCTGAAGTTAAAGGATCATCATTAGAAAAAATTTGTTCCAAATTTTGTGATGGATATGGCTCAATGGTTGTCATAATTTCTTCATTTCCACCCATGTCATACAAGTCTCTTGGCTTCAAATGAACGGGTATGCTTCATCCTTGTTCACTCTCATCATCCATATAAAAAACCATCCAAACTTCTGACGCTTGAATGTATGGCTCATTATCTTCGTGTTTCACAGTATGCAATAGTCTTGCAAAGTTTATAGAGGTAAAACCTAACTTATCTATCTTAATGCCTCTTGGGTTTATGGTATTAGCCCATTCACATTTAAACATGGGCACTATGAAGCCATCATAGGAAAGCACAATAATGTCTATCAATCTTCCATAATAAGGGACCCCTCCGAATCTCATTTGGGTATCATTATTGCTTGAATAACTTCGTGTTCCAAACATGCCAAAAACTCCACTGTTTTGAGTTTTTAAATGATCGTCTCGTTCAAACGTTCGAAACTTGAACCCATTAACATTCAACGCGGTAAACCTCTTAACTTTATCAAATGGGCCATGAGAAAAACTAATTAGAACATTTTTATCTGGTTAATCAACATCGTCAAGATTGTTGCAAATCTACACATGATACAACATCCAATTAGTCTTGTTATTATCAAAAACCATTTCAATACAAACATATACTTTTGTACGAAAACTCACACAATTGCGGAACCAATGAGCAAACTATTTGTGAACCTTCTTGTCTATCCCAGTAGCACTTCTTTGACTGTGCCTCATTTGTTTATGAGTAATACTTTGGAACTGCATATTTAGTTATTTGATATTATATGTAAAAAAAACCTTAATAGTGTAGATGAAACTACTTAAATGGAATAAAATACTTACTTTAGATAGTCATCAACTATTGGACAATTTTTTAAAACGTGTCTATGAGCCTGCAACTTTTCAATTGGTGTTAGGGTGTAAAATGAAGATCCACCCACAGGTTTTCCAACTTTATGAAATGATTCTGCTACACGTGAACCTGCTTGGATATCGCCAATATGGTCATCATATACACGTCTAGGTTGATTCCATCTAGTCTCAATGTTGTCTAGATATCTTGAACAAAATGTAAGAATCTTTTTGAAACGGTATCTTTCTACATAGACCCTTATGGTTTTGCCTTTTTACGCACATGTGATTTAAGTTTTCCAAAGCACCTATTATTGAACCACAATAGTATAGGTTAAAAAAATTACTTTCTAAGTTAGTATCATTACAACAAAATCACATAGTTTACCTTTCAATAGGATACATTCACCGATAATGAACAGGACATCCAAGTTTAACTTCTTCAACAAGGTGAACAACCAAGTGGACCATAACAGTGAAGACCGAGGGAGGAAATAACATTTCCATGTGGCATAAATTGAGGATAATTTGGCTTTGCAATTTTTCCAAGTCTTCAATTTTCAATACCTTACCACATAATTATTTAAAGAATGAGCACAACTCAATCAATACTGCTGAAATCTCATGAGGTAATATTGTGCGAATGGCTAATGGTAGAAGTTGTTCCATTAATATACGACAATCACGACTCTTCATCATTCCATTCACCTTGAAATTTACTAAGTCAATGCATCTAGAAATGTTGCTTGAATAACCATCAGGCACCCTAATATTCTTTAAAATTGTTTAAAAAATTCCTTTTATCTTTACCCGTTAGACTAAAGGCCGATGGAGAAATTCTATCATTCTCATCAGGCCAAAGATCAGGTCTTATGCCCATGGTTTGAAGGTTCTCTCTAGCTTTAAAATGGTCTTTACTCTTTTGTATATCATTAAGTAAAGTAAATATGACATTATCGCACACATTTTTTTTAATATGCACCGAATCAAGATTATGGCGCATAAGACTATCCTTCCAATACGGAAGTTCAAAAAATAGGCTTTTCTTTTTCCACTGTTGAGCATGACCTTGTGTAGGACCACACTGTGTACTATCACCTTCTATAGGTTGTCTTTCACATGTTCTTTTTTACCGATTTTTCTTTCACTAGCTTTTTACCAAAGATGACTTTAATATCTTTAACCTGTTCAAAAACTTCATGTCCAGATAATGTTCTTTGTGGACTCTGCATTTCTTGCTTACCATTAGAGTGGATCTTGTTCAATCTAAACCCATGTCTATGATCAAGGAAGCGGCGATGACCCATAAATTACCATTTACGGCTAGCTTTAAGACGGATAGACGTAGTTTGAAAGTTAAACAATGAACACGCAAGTCCTGTGTATGTGTTTCACCCAGAAAGTGCACCCAAACCTGGAAAGTCACTAATCGTCCACATCAAATTTGCAAGCAACTTGAACATCTCTTTCTGGAAAGAATCGTATGTATTCACACCATTTGTCCATTACTCCTTCAGCTCTTTGACTAAGGGTTGTAAACATACATCAATATTATTTCATGATGCTTCTTTACTGAGAATTATCATCGACGTTATAAATGATGCCTGCTTCATGCAAAGCCATAGATGAGAGTTATATGGAATGAGAATAACTGGCCAAATACTATTGTTTGTACTCATCACACCAAAAGGATTAAAACCATCACTAGCCAATGCAATTCGCACATCTCGCAGATCTGATGAAAACCAAGTATGTGTTAAGTCAAATTTATTCTAAGCTTCAAAATCTCTAGGATGCCTTAACATTCTATCATTGTTAGTATTTGTTGCATGTCATCTCATATCCTAGGCCGTATTTGATGACAAAAATAATCTTTGTAATCGAGGTTTGATGAAAAATTACAAAGAACCTTGGTAGGAATTTTCTTCTTTTTCTTGTTAACAAAGACCTCTTCATTTGTTTTCCATTTTGAAGTGTTGCAATATTTGCAAGTCACCCTCTCTTCATCTTCTCCCTAATAAAATATACAAATGTTTGGACATGCGAGTATCTTTACATAATTCAAACCAAGTTTTATGATTGATTTATTGGCTTTATAAAATGAACTTGGAATGCAAATGCATCTTTTATTAACTCTAAAATCATTGTCATTGTCTTCTCACTAAGTCCACATAAACACTTTATATGGTATAAATTAACCAAAAAGGATAGTCTTGAATATTGTCTACACCCTTCATATAAAAGTTATTCTCATTCTCTAGCCAATTCATAGTACTCATTGGCTTCATTTATTTCCTGAGTTGCATTTGACATCACATAATCTTCTTGGGCAATCTCCAAATTTGATGCAGATGGTATTTCATTAGCATGATTCCTATCAACTCCAAATGCATCGTTGATCATGTTCTGAATATGATATTTGACAATGATATTATCTTCAACCATATTTGGAGTAGTACTAGGGAAGATAGTATTAGGTAGGTCAAAAGACTCTCCGTGATGAATCCATGTGGTGTATCCCTTCGGAAATGGTGACCATATTAAACGGTCGAACATTTCACTCACACTCTTTGACTTTTTGAAACCAAAATGTTTACAAGGGCATAGTACTACGTCGTTTTCTTTTGCACCTTTAAATGCAAAATCAATAAATTCTTTTATCCATTGCTGATACATAATTGGTGGTTGTGGCTCTGTAATCCGTGACTTATCCATTTCTTTAAAAAATAAAAATATAGATAGTATGTTATATGTCCAAGAGTTCTAGTACTATTTAATAATAAATAACTCATTGCATAGCAAAAAAACCGTGAGCATTAATACGAGACGAAGTTTTAATTAATAATGCAGAGCTTGGTAGTACAAAATCTATATGTTTGGGAGGGTACAGACCACATGGTGTGGAATTTAACTGTGGACACTTGTTTCCACGAGATTCTGCATTAATCTATTTTTAAAAGCACGGTCAAATTTTAATATAGCCAAACAAAACAATTTGAACAAAATATATTTGAAAAAGTATAACAAAGGGGCCCAAAAGGAAGGTACATAAAGTACTTACTGTAGCACCCCAAAATTTGCCTCATTGTTTCTTGATTTACTGGCTTATGTTTCTCTGCATTTTGCATTGTTGTATATTATGGCATTGGTTCTCGAGACATGAGATCAAGGTGTTTCTATGACTCAGGATTCTTTTCATTGCAAGAGTTTAAACAACAAACATCAGAGGCTCCGACATTTATTTTGCCCAGAAATTTAGCGATTGATCTCATTTTATTCAGCAGGTTCATTTTAGCATAGGAGACAATGTACGAGGTATCACAAGCATTTTCACAGTTGTAATATTCAAGGGCAAGTTTTAGAGGCTTAACGAAGCTTAGAACGGGTGAAAACGGACGAATGTGCATGATTTCCCTCTAAATGGCGCATTTTTGCAAATTTGTGAGTGGTTAATTGATTAACCAACTTGCACTAGCAAATGGTTAATCGATTAACCATAGTAATGTTTGCCCAGTAACGTGCATTTTCAATGCTGCCACTTTTGAGGTCTCTTATAATCACTTGTGAATTTGATTTTACACTAGAAGAAGGACGTAGAATCACTCTAATTTTGATTAATTTTCAAAATCAATTCAATTTCCCTCTAATTTTCCAATCCTAACCCCATTCCATTTTTCGAAGCCTCACTCCTAACCAAGAGCATATTTAAATGATATGCTTCAAATCTCACCGTAAGAATTCACCATACTTTCCGATTTTCAGATTTCACACTCCTCGTTCTTGAGAATTCTCTCAAATTCTCTCAACCTTTTTACATTCGAAAACCTCCATTAGAGCTATTTTCTTTGAGTTTGTTGATTCTTCGTTGGAATCTTTGAATCCTAGAGCTAAACCTTATTCATTCATTTCCATTATCTTCAATTCATCTTTTGATTTTCGTTTGGATTTGGATCTGATTTTGGAAGCAAGATTTGAAGTGATTCTTGAATCAATTTTGGCTTGATCTTGCTTGTTCTTCACTTCTACTACAAGGAAGCTCTTGGATCTTTAAGATTCTTTGGGTTTCTAACTTGGATCTATTAATTTGGAGTGAATCAACATTTACCAAAGCAAATCTTAGCTTTGAAGGTTGGTTAATTCTAGATCCAATTCTGTTTTGAGCTTATTTGAATAGTCACAATGTGAATCTTCAAGTTTTGGTTGATTTTATTGATTTTGATCTTTGTGATTTGTGATTCCAATGTTTGATTAAGTTTAATTGATGTTTGATCGCTTACTTTTGGTGTTGAATTCATGCATAATTGATTACATGATCATTTGGATGATCATTTCGATCAAATTATCTTAACGATGGTTTGTCTGACCTAAAGTTAACCATAAAACTAAATCAATTTTTTCGGTTGAAAAAGTTATAAAGTCATTGATCGATAAAACTTGATTAACAAACTAAGTGCTTATATTATAAAAATAAAGAAGATAATGTCATTACAATAAAAATTCAGGGACACCCCCTAGCATTAGGGGGTTTAGCTACTCATAGTCAATAAAGTAAATCTAACAATTAGATACAACATTACAGTAGAAATGGGGATTACTTTTGATCTTCAATTGCTTTGGCCTTTAAAAATCCCTCGTTCTCCCTTTTCTCCTGAGCTCTCAATCGTATCTTCTTGTCCTTTTTCTTTTCACAACCCAAAATTCCCTTTCTCCTTTTCCAAATGCGTTTCAAATACTAACAGATTCAATAGATAGGCCAGGAAATTCAAAAAATGCCCTCCGGGGTCAAAACTGATAAAAATTGGAAAATGACACGCCCATACCAACACGGGCCGTATCAACTGACACAGATGGCCGTGTTGGCCCTCGAGTCCAGATACAACATGCAATTTCATCATCCAGCCTTGCTGGCACGGGCCGTGTCAACTAACACGGGCACCCGTGTCAGCTCCCTGTATTTCTCTCCAACACGCCCAAGTTGTGCCGTGTCAGACCACTGAATTTGCTTGAAAACCTTTTTTCAACTTTCCAAAATCACCAATTTATTCGCCTGAGTCCTTAGCCTTACTTCGTATGAACCTGAAATTACCAAGACTACCACCAAACGCATAAAATGCACCAAATATAACATAAACTACTTCTAGAAACAATGCGATAATGAAAATGCAGAAAGTATAATAAACATCAACATTACGAAAGAAAATGCTACCGATTATTGTGACTTTATGTTGAATAAATGGACAAAAACTCATAGAATTGGTGACCGATCACAACCCCAAACTTATCTCATTACTTGTCCTCAAGTGATACTCGAGACAACAAAAAGGTCACCCCCGTATTATTTGCAATAATTTCACCACAACACTGCCAAGATCTTTTGCGATTTACCTTTAATGTTCTTTTCACCATTTTCCTTCTTACTCGATTTTTGACGTTGCACCACATTTCGACATCGAAGTACCTTTTCACCTGTCAGCTTTTTACACTCTTACCAAATCTCTCGGGTTAAAGTGTTTACACGCATAAATCACAGTATGCAAAGTCGACTCACAAGCTTGAATATCATCTATTTTCTTAACATAAACACACAATACACACTTTGTGAGGGCTTTATAGGTTGTAAATAGGCTAGGGACATGGTGGGATAGACAAACGGAAAAAAAGGAAAACAAACGAGTTTATAGGCTCGGATGTAGTGTCATCTTTCTCATTACTATGTACTTTTTTATTTTCACAACCAAGGGTGTTTGACACACTTTCTTTTGGATTATCCAATTTTCTCTCTTTTCTTTTCTTTTCTCTTCTCAAGTGAAACCTTTAGAGTATTTTCTATAATTTATTTTTCAACAAGATCCTTCTCTAGATATGTGCCTTCTTTCATATAAATTATTTTTTTCTTTTTTATTTTCAAGGTTTCTCATTATTCTTTTTTTTTTCTGAAAGCACTTACCTACTTTTTATGCGAGTGTCCCAACCTCAAACTTATAATTTTACACAGATCAAAAATTGACAACACTTATCCGAGCATGGTGAGGAAGTGTTTGGGTTTAAGGTTATATGATGTGGTTGATAACAAATAAATGGAAATATGGCTTGAAGGGGCTAACAAGGGGTAACATATAAGGGTTAGCTTGAAAGGATCAGGGCTAAACAAAAATAAGCGCCCAGTGTGTAGATGTGTGCATATAAACAATCCAACAGACGAATACGCAAGCCAGGAGTGACAAAGACACTGATACTCTCACGATGATAAAGTGTTTGGCTTTATAGAATCCTCACCATGTTTGGCATACTGACAGTTTCCAAAGTACCTATCGTGTGATGTGGCATCATTTCCGTCTCGGGTTAAAGTACTCAGATCAAGCCTAGGTTTTGTCTTCTCATCCAATTTACTATAAGCATGTTTATTCATCCGACATACAAGTCTCCAATCTATAACACATAAACACAAAACACACCAAACAAATAAAAACAACACACAAGTGAAATATCATAAAAATTTCGAAAAACAGACAAACAGAAAGTAAATAAAAACCCTCCCACACTTGAACTAAACATTAGCCTCAATGTTTTAGAACAAACATGAAAGGGGACTCACAAAGCCTCACTGAGGAGGAGGGAAGCACAACATCAGTTGTTGCACTATAGCGTGCATGTCATCCATTATCGTCCCTTGGCGAGCTCGCTCTTCCGCTTGTCGGGTTTGCTCCGCCCGGAGATACCCAATCTTACCATGCACCCACAACCAGTTATCATTAGCAGTGGATGAACTTCCTGCACCTGTATACATATGTCCCTCATGTGATGGCGCAATTTGCTCAGAGACAAACTGCTCAAACTCAAGAGCATCCTCCTCTTCATGTTCTCCTGTAGACAAAGGGTCAGCATGATACTTGTCCTCATCTTGGACGGTACTATCATAACTCTAGTTATTCATATCAGTGATACTAACTCTATTAGGAGCTGGGAGGGAAATTACCAACCTGTTATAGCTCATAACAACATAATAATTCGGTGCAATAGAAATCATACCCTGTTGGACCAGGGACCCCATATCCAATTTTTTTTTACCTGATACCAGTGTGTCACTAATGTAGCAGGATCATAGCCAAAGTGATTGGCTATCTCAGTGTTATCATGCCTTCCACAGAGATTCCCCCTTGAGCTGTTCTTCCTACTCTACTCAGATAGTCCGCTGCAAAAGCGACAACACTTACCATTTCAGAGTTTGCCATAACATACAGGAAGAATAACTCCCTCTAAGTGGCCACTCCAGTACTATCTCCCCTCCCGAATAGAGTGTACGCTAAAGTTTTCTGTGCATACCTGAAACAAGGATTTTGAATACCTGGTACCTTGGCACCCTTTGAGACATACTCAATGTTACCTGTAATAGCTGTCCAAAATGTTTTCTCATCAAAAATCTTCGGGAAAGCTTCGGGGCTAAAAACTTGATTGGTAAAATAACAATTGTACTATTCTTCCTATTGTAGTTAAAATAAGGGGATTATCCCTGTTGCACCCCAAAATTTGCCCTCACAATACAAGACTTTGTGTTCCAAGAAGGTTCACAAGGTTCACAAAATTCACAATTGGTCAGAAGAGTTGACAATTCCCTCAGACAATGCACCTCATAAGCAGTGCATCCAAAACTAGGGTTTTGACTTTAATCAGGCTAAATGGACTTCCAAGACTTCAAGTGAGCTTCATAACATCTT